CATTATTCTAGGGACTAGGATGTAGGAGCCTTAACCGGTAACACAACAATTCTCACCCATTAAAGGCACCACCGTCACTCATCCCGCCCCAATCATCGAATCCGTCCGATTCGAGCATCTCCAAGACACTTCCCTGTCCAGTCCATCTTCACCTGCGTTGCCCATATGGCGAGGGAAGAGCTTGTTGCATACGAGTAGATTACTCGGAGGAGCTCGCTGCAGCTGCATGGGAATTCTCACTCTGGCATACTCGACTACGGACACTGTACCCGTGCATCCGCATCCTCCTCCTCCACCGTAGCCTTTTTTCCACCTCTCTTCTCCTCTCTCTCTCCCTCTTCCCTTCCTCCCCTCCTCATAGGACGTGACACCGTTACAAGCACTTGAATACTACTTGTATTACCATCGCCAGGTTCCATCACCCCCGCCACCACTAACATCCACCGCCATCCGCCACACCACACACACACACGACAACCAAGTCACCGGTGCACCACAATACTTTTTTGGGTACCCCAACTCAACCCCTGACACCTACGGCCCCTCTTCACCTCTCACTCATTCTCACTCACTCACTCACCCATTCACTCGCCTTGTTTGGATCGCTGGCACCTGCTGACGATAACTTATCGGTTCCTTCCGGGAGTTTGCAGTTAAAAAGCACAGGAGCATCTTACCCTACCGGTACCCGCACTGTATATAGAAATTCACCCTGTCGTTTATCCCGGGCAACTGACTTTTCTCTTCCTTCCTTTCTTTCTTTCTTTCTTTTCTTTTTTTCTCCCCTGCGTTCTTTCTTACCTACGGTGCCGTTCCTTTATTTTATCCCCACACCCAGAAAACCGGGTGTACGGTACTGCGCGCCTTTGTATCGTGGTGCTTTGGTTTGGGCAGCGGTGCTTTTTTCCTTACTACTATGGTATCATAGCTACTTAGATTACTGGCTCCCCTTTCAACTGTTTGTTATCTCCACCCTTGTCGTCATTATCGTCGTGTCGCGAACCGTGAAGCACCACACAGTCGACACCGTCGTCATCCTCATCCCCGCAACCCAACCCTTCGAGCGACAAACAAACAGCTCCCCTACAACATCCTTCAGACACTCGCCCCGCTTCCACGCTCGTCCCTAGCAATGGACGGTTCACCTCCGGCGAATGCCACAGCCCCTCGCCGTCAATCACCCTTGCCTTCTATCCGTCTGCCCGTTCCCGGTGCCCCATCGTCCAGTCTCGCCGTCTACAAGGCTCGCTTCAAAGCCGCCTTTGTCGGTGCTGACCCACGGATCTGTGCTGCTTTTTGGCTATTTGGTCTGGCTTCCGGCGAACCATTCCTCGTCCCCTACCCCTCGCCTGTTTGACTCAGCTAACCCCTCCCACCCTCTTTCAGGCCTCATCAACAATGTCCTCTATGTGATCATTTTGTCCGCAGCCCTCGATCTCGTTGGCCCAACCCTGCCAAAGGCTATAGTGCTCCTTGCCGATGTCGTCCCCTCTTTCTTGACAAAGCTTATAGCTCCGTACTTTGTTCACCTCATCCCTTACCGCATGAGGATTCTGATATTAGTGGCCTTATCCTTCACCGGCATGCAGCTAGTGGCCTGGCCCGACTCCCTGCCAGTGCGTTTATTCGGAGTGGTGCTGGCCTCCGTATCCTCGGGTTTGGGTGAGTTGTCGTTCTTGAGTATGACCCACTACTACGGAGCCTTTGCTGTGCCCTTCTGGTCGTCAGGAACCGGGGGAGCGGGGCTTATCGGGGCCGGACTTTATGTGTTCGCTACGAGTTGGATCGGCTTCAGCGTTGGAGGGAGTTTGATGGTGTTTGGGCTTTTGCCAACTATAATGCTTATCGCCTTTTTCGGGATCCTACCTTTGGCTCCTTTACGGGGAGGGAATGGTTATGAACCGCTGAGAGACGGCGATGAGATCATCGATCCAGACCTTGAAGGCGATGGTGCAACCAGTGGATTGTTAGCGTCTTCGGGATGCCCTGCGAGTGGACACACGTTCCCTGCAGTCAACGTCAGCTATTCAGCTGGTGAAAAGACATTCGCCGGTCAAGTTGATGTTGCATGGAGGGGCTTTCGGGCAAACTTTAGAAGGACGCGGCGTTTGTTTCTTCCCTAGTACGTTGATCTCTTTCGTATGAATAACCCAACCTCTAATCCTATCATAGTATGCTTCCCTTACTCCTGGTCTACATTGCCGAATATACCATCAATCTTGGCGTTGCCCCAACGCTTCTATTCCCACTAGCCTCCATGCCCTTCAAGAATTACCGCGATGCATATCCCATGTACAACACAATCTACCAGACCGGAGTCTTCATTTCACGCTCCTCAACCCCCTTCTTCCGCGTCCACGGACTCTACCTACCGGCCCTGCTCCAAGTGGCCAACCTGGTTCTCCTGGTGCTTCATTCCCAGTACAACTTTCTTCCAAGCATTTGGATAGTCTTCATCGTCGTATTCTGGGAAGGACTGCTTGGCGGACTAGTCTATGTGAACACCTTTGCCGAGATAACCGACAATACACCCGAGGACGAGCGCGAGTTCTCGCTAGGTGCCACCACAGTGAGTGATTCAGGTGGTATTTGTGTTGCCGGTTTCATTAGTTTGTGGCTGGAAATGTATCTTTGCCGATGGCAGGTGGACAGAGGAAGGGATTACTGCCGACAGACTTAATCATTTCCTCCCTCTAACCCTCCCTCCCTCCTCCTTTCCCTTTCCCTCCCTTTTCTTATCCCGCTTACCGTATTTGTTTCTGCACTGGGCTGGAGTTTGTCGAAGATGGGGGTTTTCCTTTTGTCATGAAAGGTGTTTGGTGGTTGCCTGCCTGTTCTCTTGTACCGTTATTACAAGCGCATGATATACATATACCACAGTTAGAATATCAGTCCTATTATACCCTATCACAACTTTCACCGTTCTATGCGGTCTCATACCGTCTCATACCGTACCCCCCTCCCTCCCTCGGCATTTGCCGAATAACACGAGAGCAGTCCAACCCCAGCTTGCGTAAATCCCGATATCCTTTGCTGCACCACCCACCGACGGGCAAACCTAGCCCGGCCTAGTCTATGGTATTGTAAGTACGGCACTGCAGCCCAGCCTCCCCGTAACCCGTGCCCTGGAGCTGCAGCTTGGTTATCATGATTACAGGTGCAGCACCGACTTGTTGGATCATACCTCTCACCCAGCGATTGGATTGGATCGGAGCGGATTCGATTCTGTCTGGTCAGTGCGGCGACGACGGAGCATATCGCACCGTCGTATCGCTCGCTTGTGAAGTCCCGTTTGGGACGGGTAAGTGCGGTACTTGTAACCACAATACAGTTGCCGTTATCATATGCAGCACCGATAACGGCGGGGATTGTCGGTGCTGCGTGCGCTGCACGCGCTCGAGCACAGTAAGCAAGCAAGCAAGTAGGGGAGAGGATGGTGAGGTAGGAGAATGGCCGTGCCCGTGGTCATTGTTTGTCACTCGTTTGGGTATTTGTATGATGAGCTGTGGTGGTGGTGGTGGTGCTTGCATGATGATAGGTTGTGTCGACTGCTATGATAGATACATTTCCTTCACGGCAATTCTCTCCATGATTGTTTCGTTAGAATTGGGAGCTTTTGTTTTTTTCCTTTTTCTTTTTTTCCCCTTCTCTCTTTTTGATCGATATATTGGAAATAGATATGAGGCTGGGCGGGGTATCATACACCTGTCCCATCACACGAGGCGGGACATTAGTTAACCTAACAGCCTACGGTTCAAGTCGGACTGACTGACTGACTGACTGGCCCTGGCGGGTAGATGAACAATCTATTGAGTGGGGCGGGAGAGGTTATGTGAATATATCATAATATTATTATTATATATTTTTTCGGGAAGAACCAAGAGGTTGATTTTCCGCACTACGTCTATTGTTTTCTCAATGGGGAGTCTATCAATACTATGGAATTCGGTTTAGAAAAAGAAAAAAAAGAAACCCTCCCCCAGGAGTGCGTCGTTTTGCGGTGCTCCTTCTCGCGACCTGCGGTGGTTGGTCGTTTATTTAGGAGTTGGTCGGTTTGATTGGGGTTACTGAATGACCTTGGGATTACTCGCAGTACAGTATTGCGGTACCGTGGCTGTTCCTCGCTCTCTTCTCGCTCAAGCCTCTTCACCGTTATGGTGGTTCCCGAGATTTCATGTACTATTGGCTAGAGGGATAAAGAGAGAAAAGTGTTTTGGGACACGGGGGGGAGGAAAGATGCGATTTGGTCGTACTGGGTTATTTCCGGGTTATCATCACCCATACCAGGCTAGGCAAGGCTTGAGTTGTGCGGTCCACAAGCTCACTCCTACGCTAGCTCTATATCTAGCCAAATTCCTCGCCCTCCCCCGTGCGTGTAAAAATCTCCCTCCCTACGGGCTGAACGAGCAGCAGATCCAGCGCGGCCAAAAAGCTAGACGGGATCTATGCTATGCTATGGTATGCTATGCTGGGGAGAGAGACGCTGGCTAGGAGGGGTGGGAAATAAATGAACAAACCCCCCAGAAAAAGATGGACCGTATACGAGGTGTATGGTGATGACGCCAAGTTGCATTTAGGGGTATATCTTGAGTCAACGAGCGAGTGACTGCTCGTGCTCAGACGGTTCGAACAGAACAACCAAGGATCGCCCCCGCGGAACCCGGTGCAGCTCCAGTACTACTACGACTACTCTGAGCGAATGCTGAACCGTAGGTGGGAGAGTATTGCGCTTCTCCTGGTGTTGGTGTAGGAGGGTTTCCTTTTCTATGATTTCCACCTGGTTCAGTGTTCCCAGCCGTCTAGTCCGTCCGTCTTTCAGTCCGGACGGGACGGACGGCGGTGCATGGGAGGATGCCCGGGACGGACGGGCATCTTAGCGTCCGTCCGACCACTGCCCGGGACGGACTGCCGGGCCCTGCGGGTGTTTCAAGATGGGGAATAGGCGAGATGCCTACAGGTGACTGCCGGTGACGGTCGGGCCCTGCAGGTGCCTGTCAGAAGATCCCATTTGTACTAAGACTGCGGGGCCCGGGCGTCGACCCCTAGGACCGCCGTCTTTATGGAAGACGGACGCCATGCCCTGCCGTCCTTACCCACCATGCCCGGGACGGTTGGGAACACTGACCTGGTTGCCCAAACGTTGGTAGTGGGCGTAATTGTTTGGAGTCTCTAAACTGCTGTTGAGGGATTCGGTCGGTACTACTTTGGGTGTACTTCCCTCTCACCGGGGACAGCGCTAAGGTCCCGAGACGGGCTGGACTTGGAGATGGTTTTGGCTTTGAGGGAGGCTGTAGCCCCTCCCCCACTACTGCTTGGGAGTATCCGTGAGCGGCTAGTGGCACTCTGGCTCGGCCTCGACGGTGGATAATAGGACAAGGCGTCGCCAACAAAAATTGGGGGGTGAGCCATAACAGCGGTAATTCCGAGAACCAAGAATCCCAGTACCAAGCCTTGGACGGTCGTAGTAGCCGGACACTGCTGGAGTTCCAGGAACGTAGGCTGGAGTCATTGAGAAGATAATATGACATCCGTTCCTTATCATTAAGCGTGGGGTGTGGTGCTCCTGGAGGGATGGGCCCCAATGGAGAAAGGGAAGGATCGAACCTGTCATGTATTGCGCCGTTAGTAAGCACATAGTGAGATACAGAGTTTGTCTTCGGGAGGAATAGCAAACCTGGCTCTCTCAGTAGTGTCTGACACCTAGCGTAGGTTAGAAAAGTAGGTGTGCCTTTCATTAAAGTCTTGTATAGGTGCAAGCCCGCATTGAGCTTGAGGGCGAAGAGGGTATTGGAAATGCACAATTTCCCCCCTCCGTGCGATGTCTAACACCCGCTGGTAACACTGAGAGACGCTCCTTCGTGTCCGCACATGCAGAAGTACACATCTAGGAAGGAAGGTCACAAGAACGGTGTCTCGCGCATCTTATTTCCTCGAACAGGCTGCTAGATACAGCGATCAAGCTAGTCCTCGGACTATTACTCGGGAAGACTGGGAACAGTCTCACAGATTGAACGGCAAGACGATCACAGGAAATCCCGACCGAGGCTCGAGCCCTCACTGCGGCATACAGCATTTCTGCAAAAAGCTGTACGCCGAAAGGGAATATGAGGAATAGAACCGATATATATATATTTCTCCGGAAAACTCAGATACGTTGTTCCCGCGACCGAAGAGACATCGCGCGGCACAGTACGAGTGTCCCAATCAACTGAAGCAAATACCCTCTATCGAGCGCCCACGATATCGGCCATATCAGCCTAGCGCCCAGAGGCTCAAGAATGAAGCGGCCTTATCGGCCGAGTGATAACCTGTGCTGGAAATCCAGAGGAGTTCCTTCTGGGCGAGCGAACATGACTGGGTATCGGTAGGTCATTGTAACTGCTGAAGGGATTGCTGTTGCCGAGGTATGGTCAAGGGTAGGTATAACGTATATTGAAAATTGCACAAAGTCCTCAGGTCGCATGCGGTGGAATACATTTACCACTCTCTCGGAAACGCCCAATCCGACTTTTGTACGTTCTAGCGGGGGCACTTAGCGTACGTTGCGTGTTCGGACTGCCCTCTAGCGCGAGGCTTGCGAACTTGTGTGGGCGAGTGTTGGCCCGGATGGTGTAAATACGTACCGTAGACGAATGCCAGGTAGGTCGAGAGGGGGGCGGTAGCAACAATCAGCATTTTCCATCTGGGTGGGCGGTGACAGCTCAGTAGACAGCTCGGAATAATGAATATGTGTCTCCGCTACCAAGCCTCGATCGCTATCAGTGCCGAATGCTCTTTGGGGGGTTGTGTAGCTAGAAGGATGTTGTGGGCAAGAGCATTATGCCCCTTCGTTGCAGCTCGGTGCGAAGAATGGCAACCGTGGAGATAATCCCATCGTATAATTCGCATCTAGCGCTCGTTGCATCGTTAGTGGAATTGTAGAAAAGTATGGATTTAGTAGGTAACTTACCTGATTGAAATCTAATCTTGATAGCCAGAGGGCTAAGCCGTACGGGTCCTTGAAAAACCTCTCCCCTGTACACCACCCTTAACTAAGAAGGTGTATAGAGCGGTAAGCCTTCCTCCTCTTTCTACTATCATACCCATCCGTACATCAGGGCCACTCCACCAGCAGCGCACTTGGAGCCATATGAAGGAAGTGATAGGGCAAGAGAACAATGACGTGCTCTTCCCCATCCCCGATACAGAGACTCCGCCCACCTAACTTGCTATGATCCATTCGTTCAGCCATTTAAGGGTATTGTACCCACGTCTACTTTCCGCCAGCCCGGGAACTCAGTATTCTCGGGATATTGCGCATCTTCTTTAACCTTTCTTGGGAAGTCATATAGGAGCATAAAGTATTTTAACTTTATAGCTGGATATAACTCGATGCGGGTGTGAAGTGGAGCTTTATGAATTCTGGATCAGAATACATTGGGATAGGATCCTTAGCACCCTTTCTGAAGGTGATCATTACCACTATTCCACCGGAAGTGCTCTGAGAGCCACAGCCTCACACCCGCGGGCAGCCACCAAAGGAAAGAGAGTAGTGAGACGAGAGAATAGCGTCGTGCTCTCCCGATCCCTAATCCCACATCCTTATCCGCTTAGCCTGCTTTTTTTTATCCTTTGCCCGGTCCTAGAGATCCAATGTCTCAGCAGCACACTGGGCCTTCTCTGGCCTTTTCCGCTAGGTCTGTTGGGTGCGCGGGGGGGGGGGGTGGATGGGTTGACTTGATGCATCCCCCAGGCCCCACCGAGCATATATAAGGAGAAGTAGACGAATACTGAGCCTTGCTCGTAGTTCACCCGAGACCCCGCCAACATACCTTTCCCACAACACAACACAACACTACTCAACAGGGTCATGTGAAGCAGTGAATACTGTACAGGAATTATAGACGAGTGGTAACTCAGTGCAAGTG